CAAAGCTAAGATTTTATTTATGTTATATACATGCACATGTATGTATTCAAAATGAACAATCTTTCTATACTATTTTAAAAACAAACTTTAAAAGGTAATGTTAGACATGACGTTTCAACTTTGCATGTTTAGATAATATTCATAGAATGTATGTTCCATATTTCTCACAAAACACTAATATAAAGTTGCAAGCTAGGGAATGAAAGCAAAAAAAAAAAAAACATTGTTAAACATAGAAAAGCTGATGTCCAAACTGAACTTTGATAAAGGATAAGTCTTGTCATTGACCCTCCATAAGTAGGAGGTGCAGCCACAATTCCATGTGGTTATAACATTAACTCATCAATATTGAAGACATTCTGTCGGGAAACTTATAGATTACACTATGCTAGTTTTTTAATTGTTTCTTTTAAACAAAGCTAAACTCAAATAAAAAAATTAAGATAAATTAAAAAATATATTTTATTAACAAAATCCATATTACAAAGTTTGTTAAAGATATTAGTATGTGTATGTGTGCAATATTTATTTATTTTTTACTACTGTAGAAAATGCAAGTTCAGCAGTTAATATTTGTCTCTTCATGTATTAAAATTCATATAAAACAATGCGATATATTATTTTAGAGTTTATATATTTACGTCTTTATAAAAAAATATTTTAAATTAAGAGTGTATAAAAATGGTGCTCAGCGATAAGACATAATGTCTTCCTCTAGCTCCAGCTATTTATTTCATTGTATATGCATATATATGAATATTGTATTTATAAAATACAATATTCATATATATGTTAAAATAAATAAGCAACAACAACAACAACAACAACAACAACAACAACAACAACAACAACAACAACAACAAATGCTACGCTCTATGTAGACCTGTACCCTTCGTTACCGAGACCCAAACACTTTATAAGATTTTGATTTATAGCCATGAAGTCATTGAATTATTTACTCTTTCATCAAGTATGTTTTCTAAAGAGACTACCAATAAGAGTTATAAGATCTTCAGTGAATGTTTTACAAAACCGATCGGAAAAAAACAATTTAAACCTTTTTGATCATAATTATTTGCGTTATTATGTAATGAAATTTATATAAAACAAATGCTTTTTTTCCCGCAGATTGTATTTTTTAATATAATAAACTGTTTCTCATAATAAAATAAAAAAAACCAACAAAAAGTTTTAGCTTTTTGGGTTTCGGCTAGAAAAATGACACTTTTTGACCGTGAGATGCACTTAATTCAAAAGAGGAAGCAAATATTATTTCTGATTTTTTCCTTAAAGATTATGACTCTAGAAGTTTAGTTCTTATCTTAACTTTTTATGGTGATAATTTTTGATGCTGACATCGAAATAAGAAATCTTCAACCTTATTTTCAACGTTCATTAAGTGCAGAACCAGTATTTTTGATATATGTTTAGACCTTGCTTTTGTGAAAAGAAACTGCAAAAAAGAGGCATTATTAATTATGCTTTTACTGAACAACTGTACGATCAATCAAAAAAAGGAATTTATGCTTCTAAAAAACTGAACAAACACCGTATGGAATGAAAACAATAAAAGATGAATTTAAATTTAGCAGCACAAAAGTATTGATGTTTGTTGTTTTTGTGCAAATAAATTGAAGATTTTTGAAGATTTCACTAATTTCAAGATTGTGGACCAACTATATATTTATATATATTAACTAAATATAAGTTTTATCAACTTCTTGCTCTCATGTTCGGAATTGTGAGGGTTGAGGGAGAGGGTGGGGATGTTGGGCGGACGGTTCAAGAAATGGTTTGCTGTTCAAGAACCATCTTGAACAGCAAACCAAGGATCAGTGGCGTACATTTTCATAATTTCAAAATCGCAACCATACGAGATTTTGACTCCACTTGCATCCACTATGAGAATCAATAAAATCGTTTATACATATTTTGATAAATCTTTATACTTGGCCCTTCATCTAGTTAAGTAATATCACTATTTACAGCAGCGTTAACTCAATGCCTTTCAGAGTCATCTTCATAAAACAAATATTTTACCTTGCAAAAATTGTATTTCCTGTCGCTGAGACAAGATTAGCTAAGATTGTTTCTAATTATGTTGCTAAAATCAGATATCAAAGGTACATTTTCTCTAAGATATTGGACTTTAAGGTATTTAGCCCAACATCCAGTCATTGGCAAGCAAATAACAACATTTCCCGGAAAAGCTGGTTCGAAAAACCACCGAATTTCATGTCATAAATTGGTTTAAAGAAATCGAAGAATGTTTGAAAAAAAAAAAGAATTGATATCAACGAGTTTGACGACCCTGATAAAATTGAGAACTTTGACGAATCGGGATTTGAAGTTGTTCAACGAATATTTACAGCTCAATGCGCTTCAATGCGTTTTAAATTAAAAAAAATGTAATGTTTGGCATTGCATCTTTGCTTGTTTGATTTTTTAAATATTTCATTTTATTTATTTAATTTGAATAATTTTTAAATTTATTTATTTGATTTTGAGATTTCTTGTATTGCTTGTTTGCAAAAACTAGTTTTATCTTAACTTGAAAATATTTGCTTTGTTTGCTTTTTAATTACATTCAATCTTTGGTTTAAAATTTTCAATATTGTCATTAAGCCTTTATTTTAAATATATTTCAATTTACCTATTCAGTCAGAAAACGTATAAAATATTGTAAATAATTGAGAAAAGGAGGCAAATACAGCCTTTTTTGACTTTACAGCTTTGGAGAAAATGGTTTCATTGATTATTGGATTGCAAGAATCTCCTATAAGGGCTGGCAAATCTCTAAAACATATTTTCAGTATTCGTCAAACGACCTCGTTAAATGGCTTGACAAAAACAATGTTCAAAGACTCGTCATAATCTTTGTCGATGGTAATAAATGCCAATATTAAAGTCAATATCAAAATCACCGAATTTTGCAAGCTAAACGGTTTTATTTTTATCTCTCCTACCGAGCACAACCTTAATCTTTCAGCTACTGGATTTTACTTTTTTTGGACCAATAAAATAAATTTGGTACAAAGTTTTAGGAAGTTATATGAATTTGGACGCACAAACAATAGTAGAAAATTAAGGTTCAAAATTAGGCGTGAATTTTCAGGTTAAATGCTACTCCGTGTTGCTCTGTGATAAAACCGGATTTCCTTTAGCACCTAAATAATTAATAAAAAATAAAAATTGAAAAAATGCGTTAGTATACATAGGATGTATAAGTGCTGCATCAAGTAAGCGATCCTAGAATTGAATCTTGAAAGACGCCGCTGGTAATTTTCATTAAATACGTTTTTTTACCATGCCTATAAATTGCATTTTTTTTCTTTTGGTTAAATAACTCTTAAACTAACTTGAGTTATATCTAATGGTAAAACAATTTTTTATCTTATATAGAATATTATTATCTACGGTATCAAGCAAGACACCTCAAGGGAATTTTTCTTTAAAATCTTTAGTATTTCATGTACCAGATTTATGATTGTGCGGTCTGTTAAATAACCAGAGTTAAACCCAAATTGTTTATTGTATTGTGTATTGTAAAGAATTGTGTATTGTGTAATTGTGTATTGTAAAGAGTTTTTATTAAAGAAAGCATCTATACGTGACACGCTCTAAAATATTGGAAAAACATTAAAGAACTGAGATTTGTCAGTAGTTAGACCCATCAGAAGGATCACCTGATTTAAAAATTGGGGTTTTTAAATTTTGACTCTTTAGGTTTTTCGGAAATACTTGTTTCAGAGATAATTATTATTTAAACTTTTGTTAGTTTATAACAGAGATACTTAGGTTATAACAGAAACAACGAATTTAATATTTCTTCCTTCGTAAATTTTTGATTATGCACAATAGCACTATTAGATGTCAAGTTTGATTGAAAGCTTATTTGAGATGGTTTAATTTACTTTAAACCATCTCAAATAAGAGGCTCGATATTGGTATAAAGCAATGCATTTAATGCTAAACTGTGTAAACCATTTCCGGATAGTTGGCTTAAAGAGATGATTCTTCTGTAATTCAAACGTATTTTAAAAATAAAAACTTGTTTTTGTATCATACTAACACTGTGGGCACGGTACATTTTTTAAATGTTCTTTTGACGTTTTATTAGCTTTAAACCTTGTGAAAATGTCCAAAGAAAGTTTTAAAAACCTACCGTGCCCACTAGGAAGGTACTAAAAAAAAGAAAAAAAAAAAAGAGTAGCTGCATTGCAGAAAAGCGAACAAAATCTTAAAAAAATGATTTTTAGTAAAGTGTTTTTTCTTTCTTTTTTATATAATATTAATTTTATAGTTTTTTAAATAGTTTTTGGCGCTGATTTTAAAAATGAAATCAGTTTTGGGCTAGCGTCTATATTCTGTTTTTTGTACGGACTAATTGTAAAGCATATTTTAAGAAATATTTAAATCTAACAACTACCAACATTAAAGTAAAAACAAAACCAACTCTGATATTAACTTAATTAGTGAGAATGAAGAAAATTTTATAAATTAGATCAGCTCTTGAGTTTTTTTACAAAAATACAACTTGTCTAACTTATAATAGAAGTGGTTGGATGATCGAAGCTAGATTTTTAATAACTTGTCTATCTTATAATAGAAGTGGTTGGATGATCGAAGCTAAATTTTTAATAACTTTTTTGAAAATGAAATGTCAATTTTTAACAATAATTTTTTCATTTAAAAAACAAAACTGATTTGGTTAAAAACTTCCTTCTAAATATTAAAAAAAAACAATATAAACTTTTAAAAATTATTTAATAAAAATTTCTTTTCATATAAATTCGCCTTTAATAAAAAAACAATGTAAGTAAGATGCGCGTTAGGGGAGGGAGAGAGAGAGAGAGAGAGAGAGAGAGAGAGAGAGAGAGAGGTTATATAGTATTGAATAAAATGCAAACTGTAGTCCTTAAAAATTTAATAACTTTTAAATTTACCGGTTCGCAGTTCGCATTCAATTTACCCGACTATTGTATTAAAATACAATATTATATAGGTATTGTAAAAATATTATTAATTACTTCTTTTATTTTTATGCAGAGATCCTCACATCCTACATTAATCCTAAAACTTCCTCTGTTTCAGTATCAATATCGATATCATAAAAACAAGGCCTTGTGGGTAACCCAGGCATCGTGCTCATCTAAAAGTAAAATAAAACTTATTAAACTAATAAATAAATTGTACACTAATTGTACACATGAAAAAGTACACAAAAAATGTATTTTGAACATAAAAAAGTAAACAAAAAGTAAACATTGTATATAAAAAGTACAAAAAACAAATCTAAAAGTAAAATATACCGTTCCAACCAAAGGGTAAATAAATCCTGCTCCAACGCTTGCACGAACATCACTGATAGGTATAATAAAACCTAGAAAATTAAAAAAGTTGAGTTTGTAAAGGAAAAATTTTCCGTTGTATGAAATTGGTGTTTCGTAAGGTAAACATTGTTCCACGAGACATTCAATTGACATATACAGATTATTAAAAAACGAAAAATTTATGAAATAAATAAAAATTATTAAATTACTATTTATTAAATTATATATAAAATTATATTATTATTATTATTATTATTATTACTATTATTATTATTATTATTATTATTATTATTATTATTAGTCATAATGAATTTTTTAATACTATCAACACAACAGAAATAGATCTATTTCATATGTTTAGTCATTTCTATTACTCGATTCTTTTTATATTACTAATCAATTTTCTAACAATTTGTCCAACATAGACAAGTTATTAAACAATGAAAATAATTTAAGATTTACCTGATGAAGTAGAAAATATTAAAAAAATAGAATAGGATTTAAAAAGTAAAAATAATGAAAACTATATATATAATGAAATTTAATAAATTTTGGAATGGTGTCAAAATTTAATAAAACAAAATACCTGTTGGTGCCCCCTTCAGTTCTGGGTTTGACGAAAGAGATAAGTGTGTTTTTGCCATACATATCGGAAAATCTTGAAAGCCCTGACAAAAAAAATAAATAAAAATAATGTATACAGAAAAAAAAAAAAAAAAAAAAAAAATGATATAAATACTAAAATATTAGTTAGACAGAACTGTTTAAATAATTTTTCCTAAATCTAGAAAAAACTTTTTAAAAATCCTTCAGATTAACATTTTTCAACATTAAATAAGTAATATACTAAGTGTACATTACTTATTGTAAAATAAATTTTAACAACAGTAATAAAAAAATCTCCAATCTGGTTTAGGCCATAAAAAATTGAGCAACTTAAATTGGGTTGAGTTGATGTTATAAGAAACTTTTAAAAATAAAAAATAGAGAAAAATAACATGTTTCTTTGTCAACAATAAAACATAGTGAAAAATACATATTTAATATATGTTTCTTTGTCAACAAATAATCTTATTTCTTTATACATTTTTGTAACTTAAGAATTCATATTTTCAGAGTTAGAATAGTAAGAAAATTTTTAAATCCATAGCTTTGTATTAAAAATGTGAAATTTATCCAAAAACAAGTTCCAGAAGTTTCCAGAAGTTATTTATCCAAAAACAAGTCCCAGATGTGTTCTCATTACTCTGGTAAAACAATAAATTTCGAAAATTAAGCAAACGTTTTTTTTAAAAAAAAAAAAAACAAGTTATAACTAATATATGCAAATCTTATTTCATTTATATTGACATTAATGCAGCATCTCATTGTTATATTACTTTAGAAGACCATAATTTTTTTCACAATCCAACAGTCCATTTATTGAACCTTGCTATGAAATGAAATAGGGAGAATCAGTAAAGATATTCTTACTAAAAACTAAAATAGTAGGGTGGTCCTTAAAAGGACCACCCTATAATATAGTCATATAAAATATCCTACAATTGAATCAGTAGAAAAACACTTTATATTATTATAGTATTATTATAAATATTATTAAGTTTTTTATTTTTGATATTATTGAATTCTACCTTTCTATCAGTGAAAAACTTTTAATAAAACTTTATTTATTTTGAGAAACAACATCTCCTTATATTTAAAAAGAAAATATACTTGATTTTTAACAGTAAAAAGCTTTTGCTTTTTAATAATAAGGTTTCGACAAAACAACTAAGTGGTTTATTTGATGTTTCATGACAGCATTCAATGGTGCTGAGAGGTTGAGCTAGTAGAATATATATATATTTTTTTACAAATTTTACAGTTTTATAAAAAATTAGAGTTAGGGATATTCTGTGATGATGGCCTGCCAGTTTTTAATAACAAAATCAAACCTGAAAAGTTACAACAACAAAAAAAAGCATAATGTTGATAATTTATACATAAATAAAAACTTAAATGCATTGCGTTACGCATATCTATACAGCGCAACATTAAAATTGACAACTACTTTGATGATACTCTAAACCTCCATGAACCCATGTTTAAACCTTATTTATTATTATAATAACTATGTTTATATGTTATAATAAACATGTTTGTATGTTAATATGGTTATTATAACCATGTTTAAACCTGATAATATCTTAAATAACATCCTAATCTATATCAAATTCTCAATAACATCCGAATCTATATCAAATTCTCATTGTATATTAACACTGATGAGACTCTGTTTAAACTTAAAAAAAAAGATAGGCTAGCCACTTTAATTCTACTTTCTGAATGATAGTGAGCTTTTAAAGGAATTATTTCAAAGCAATTAAAGATTAGGAAAAAAAATCCTATAGTTAAGCGGAAAACTCTGAGACACTGTAAGACATATAATCTATTAGTTAAATCTTTCAAATTATAACTCAATCAAAAATATGGATTCTTTACTTATAAAAATTAAATGAGTAATAGTACTAAGACATAGACAGAGATTCCTCTTCTCCTAACTTGACACTGGCAATAAGTAAAGATGTTTTTTTCTATAAACAATATATATTTTTCTATAAATATTATATAAATTTTTGTCGTTTTAAAAACTCAATTGTTTACTTGTACTTTTTAATGGTGTTTTAATTGTATTTTATTATTGCTATTATTATTATTATTATTTATTTTTATTTTTTTGGGAGGGGGGGGGGGAGATTTGGGGTTTCCGCTTTTTATTTCTTGATTTGAATATATTTTTGATTACCTGATGAGGCTGACCACAATAGGTCAGCGAATATATTATTAAATCAAAATATATTTATAACACAGTTTATATGCTTCCTTTTTAAATTCAACTTATATATTCTTGATTTAAATATTTTGGACAAGTGTCAAAAAGACCTGAAATTAGAGGGCTCAAAAAAAAAAAAAACTTTTAATGATGCTTATGGGAAAGAGGAAAAGTTGCCTCTATACAGAAACAACTTATGTTCAATATTTCACCACGCTAGGATAATGTTTTCTGTTCTGGCAAAGAATGACAAATTTCAAAAATTTTGCAAATTTGCCCTATTTTTATTTTTTGAAAAATTTTAAATATCACAGCACTTGGTTCATTATTTAACTAAAATTTATTAAACATAAACATAATTTATCATACACTTGCATACTTTTATAAGAATTAAGATTCAAATATTTGAAATTAAGAGTAACAAATTGTGGGTTATGCTATTTATTTAAGTATTAAACTGCCTCTTGTACCTGACTTGAGCCATGGTCTTCCCTGATTTCAGAGTAAAATAAATCCATCATGTTTGTTATGATCACACACTTCCTTTGAGGCCTCCATAACAAATTTTACTGTTTTTTCAGCAGCTTGTGTGTGGCATGGGAACTTTGTAGAAGTCTGGCCAACTGGTATTGGTTCTTCTATCATACTTTTAAATCTTCTGTAGCCACATAATTTAATCTAAATGGTGGAGTTACTAGCTAGATAAATAGGTCATTGGTTTTAAGGTTTTTTTTTGGAATATATATACTATGAAGTATATTTTTAAAACCTTTTAATCCCAGCATGTTCAACCATCTCAATTGATTCTCATGCTTTTATGACTCTTCAAATGTCAAGGGCTCTGATATGTGTTGTCTTATCAGTCAGCATTGCAAGCAGAATGTATTCTGGAGATTAAAAGTATGCATTCTGAGACGTCAATGGGTTGATGACAATTAAATTGATCCAAGTACTTGGATGACTGAATGAAATGGTAAAAGCTCTCGATCCTAAATTAAATGATAATTTTGATCCAGAAACATGATGGCTTAATATACTGTTGGCTGTTGTCAACCAGTGAGACTTTTTTTCCCACTGGTTGACAACAAGGAATCTAGATTATGCTTAGCAGAACTGGGAGTAAACATAATCAAGCTAATGGCAATAGCAAAATCCCTCAGATGCCTCTGTTTCTTACACAAATTTGATATAGCAAGGTGATGGCAAGGTGTAGTTATTAAATTCATTGAAATGTAGTTGACAAACTGCTCAGTTCAAGACGACACAGTACCCCATTTTGAACTCCGTTATTTACAACCATTCTATAACATCCTAGAAACAGAACATGGTTCTATCTCTAGCAATTTTTTTTTAACAATCACTAAAGATGTATATCTTGCCTAAACCGAAGTCTATCTAGACTATCCTAAGCTGGTGTAATTTTAAACAGATGTTACTCATGTATAGAGGTAACTTTCGCTCTATCCCAAAAGCTTTATTAAAAAATTGCTTTTTTTAGGGCTTCCTCATAAAAATATTTTTATTAATATTATATATATATATATATATATATATATATATATATATATATATATATATATATATATATATATATATATATATATATATATATATATATATATATATATATATATATATATATATATATATATATATATATATATATATATATTTCCATACTTGTTTTGTATATGTTAACAATTTTTTCTTGGCTTTTTCTGACAGTTCAATGCCATCGGCACCATATATTTTACATGCAATCACTTTTATTTTCTCTTCAAGAGGAAGCTAGATATAAATTAAAGAAACATTTACATTAAAAAGTTTACACAATAAAGAAATACTACTTTATAAAAAAAGTACTTATATACTTATTGAATATGCTCATTAATTATTTAAAATTAATATTAATTATTAAGTATTTATATACTTATTATTTATTGAACCATAACAGAATAAAATATAAAACTTTTTAAAAATGCATTTACTTTTAAATCATACAGATATTTAAAATTTATTTCTTGGTTAGATACATGAATAACTGCCTTAGCAAGATCTTCTGCTCCTTTACCTAAAGCAAGAAACATAAACCAATATTAAATCTAAAAAAAAAAAAATTTGTTGTCTTAAATGTAATAATAAAACAATTAAAAGATGTAACTATGTCTGTCATAAATTTATTTGTAAAAAAACTTTGCACTTGCAGGTTAAATTATTAGTTAATTTAAAAAATCTTAAAAGATTACAAAAATCAAAGCCACAGTATAAGTAACCCTAATATAAAATGAATTAAAGGTTATAAGTTAACAACTTTTAAAAAGTTAATTTCTGAAAGTACCATAGCCCTAAATGTATTAGTTGTAAAGGCATCTTCAGTAATTAAAAAGATATAAGGGCATCTCCAGTAATTAAATAAGTGTAAAGAAATCTCCAGTAACTAAAAAGATGTAAAGGAATCTCCAGCTACTAAAAAAGTGCAAAAAAATCTCCAGTAACTAAAAAAGTGCAAAGAAATCTCCAGTAACTAAAAAAGTATAAGGGCATCTCCAGTAACTTAAAAAAAATTAGAATTATGGAAACATTTTTAAAAATAAGAATATAATCAATAACAGTGAAATAGAAATACTTGCCTCCATCAGCCCAGTGACTACAAACAACAGCATCTGAAGCACCAGCATGTTTGGAAAGCTGTATAATAACATTTAATTCCTTGTCTGTGTCAGACCTACAATGATTACGTTTTTTTATTTATTTTTATTAATTTAATTTAAAATAAAAGAAAGTTTACACTAAACTACATAAACAAGTGTTATGAAAGTATTTATACCAGCAAAAATTTGTTTACTGAAACAGCTACAACTGATTTTTTTTAATTTTACCAGCTTTTTTATCAAAACTTTGTTACAAAAAAAAAAAAAAAAAAAAAAAAAACATAGATAGACTATTGTTAATAAGTTTAAATTGAAAAAAGAAGAAAAATATTCAATTTCATAAAATAAAATAAAAATATTAAAGTTATCCATGTTGGACAACATTCTTCTTAATTTTGAGAAACCGTTGTGATTAGGTCAACCATACAACTGTTGTGTGATTTATGCTTAAACTGGTATAAATCTGTTATATATTAAAATTAATCTTAATGCTGCCGCTGCTGCTACTATTACTTATTCATGTGTGTTTGACATGGAATTCATGGCAACCATTACACCTAAGTTAATAAGAAGAAAGAGCTGCAGCACTTTTCTTTATAACTTCAAATTATGTAATTTTAAATTTATATTAAGTTTTACAGTTTTCCTTTTACTTGAAAATTGGATTGTGGCAATATAATATAAATATATTAATAATGTGCTCATGGTATAAGTCATGATAGAGATACTTATGTTATTAATGTGCTAAGGTTACTAATTAAGTTTGTGCATTTAACACACAATGAAGAGACAACTTTCTTATAGGAAAAAAAGATTTTACATTCAAACTTTTATTTTCTTCAAAACTAATTAATGAGGCAATGGTCCTAATGAGCTGCATATGGTCTGAAAAAAAGAATTTAATAGAAACTTGTTAAAAAGTTAAATCAAGTTTAAGAATTAAGAAAACTATTAACATTTAAAGAAACTCTTAGGAATTAAGAATTTAAGAAATTAAAAACATTAATAAACCCATACAAATATTTTTGTTCATAGAAATTTACAATTATAACAAGAAGCCATTAAACATTAACTCAATACAAAGATTTTAAAGATTTTTAATTTCTACCACTTGCTAAAAATTATTGAAAACGACTATATGAAGAATAGGTAAAAAAATGGTAAGTGTGGAACAGAATTACCATGACCCATATTATACAGGTCATGGTAAGCCCATTACTCTCGAGTCCTTAGAACAAGGGGGGTGGGAATAAAGGAGGTGGGGTGGGAATTTTAGTCAAGATCTAATAAAAATAATATAAATTTTTTTAATTTTGAGATATTAATATTTTGTTGCTAACAAGTAAAAATTAATAAACAAAGCTGGGGTCTTAATAAGCTTAGAATGATTAGGAATGTTTCCAAAAATTAAACGTACCCCCCCTTCCTTTGTGTAATAAGAACTTAAGAGTATTCTACATTTTTTATTTATTATTTAAACCTATTTTCACACATTTTTAAAACTTTATAGTTTTTAATAACAGTTTATACTTTTTATTTATTTATTTAGATTTACATATTATAACAAATTATTAATAAAGATAGAGAGGTGTGGAGAATAAAAAGTTTTTAGAAGTACCACTTGTGAACTATTATATTCTCTTGGATGCAATATAGCCTTGAAATATGTTGCAATCTTTTTGAAAAAATATCAAGTTGTGTAACAATTTATGTAGAGCCTTGTCAAATGTTTTTGTAATTCCAGTTTATTTTTTATAAACTTTCTAGTTTATGAAAAGGTTCATAAACTAGAAAGTTATGTAACAAGTTTTAGATTAAAAAAATCATTTCATTAAAAAAAATATATTGCAATACATAACATTTTATTGATAAAGGCCTGTGAATTTAGTCAAGAACTTGTTAAAGACATCAGCGCAAGCTGGGAAAGATGGTGATGTAAATTCTGAGTTAAAGTTTAGTATATTTATTATTTTATCGAGTCAAAATTCATATTTATCAATCTATTATTAAATCAATCAAAAAGATAAACAAGTTAATAAATTAATTAGTATCAAAATAAATTAATTGTGAACGGATATTAATACAAAGTAACCCTAAAATATGAGCCATAATCTGGATTATCGAACAAACAAGAAGAAAAGAAGAAGAAAAGTATAACATGAATAAAAAATGAGAAGAAAAAAACAAAAAAAAATAGCATGAATCTATTGGAAAGCAAAATATTTAAAGGTAATTAAATTTCCTTATTTATTTTTTTTTGATGATTATTGGTTAGCCACATTTGTTTATTATTTTTCTGGACAATTTATTAATATTTGTAGGTTATTTATTCTCATTACTTTATAGAATTATAATTATATCTATATAGCTAATATATCTATAATAACATATAATTTAATCATATATTTTACTATATACCTATATAACTATCTATATATCTCTACAGATTATAGTAATGATTACACAAATGTTATATAATTTAATCTTTCAATTTATGTTATTTATTATATATTTACAAAACTACCATTTTTTATCATTTGAACTTTAATATTTGTATATTTATTTTTATTTATTCTTTTCTTTGTGCTTGTCTTAACATATTATTTGTATATTTATTTTTATTTATTCTTTTCTTCTTGATTACTTTAATATTCTTCTCAAGTATATTATAATGGCTATTATAATGGCTTGTACTTTATTTCTTCAACACTATTTACTTAATTTTGTATAACCTACCTGTACTGTTCTTATGCAAATTCGTTTTGCCTCATAACTACTTTCTTATTATAATCTCATCGTATTCATTACATCCTTCATCACTCTTAAGTTGTTTCATTATTGTGCTTATCAATAATAAAACATTATAATAACATTCTGCCTATCAAGTTATGAAAAATAAAATATTGCACATCTTTTGTTTTAAAACTATAACAGATAACCACAAAGCCATTTTTGTGACTGCTGCAGTTCATAGGTTCATGCTAAGTGCAACCAAATAGATTTGCTGATTTCACTTATAATCTTCTCACTGAAGACTTTTCAGAATGGTATTGTTTCAACTGTATATCTAAAAACATGCTATATGGTCTGCTTACTAATAATGTGCTCTTAACAACATTATCATGCAAAAATCCACAAACTGTATCATCAAATATTTTTGTATCTCCATTTTATTCAAGTAATATATTTAAAGAACTTAATACAAGCTCTGGATCTGCTACAAATTGTAAATTCTATGATGTTATTGACTTTAATAAAGCTATCAAACCCAATTCAGATCTATATCTTCACCTTAATATTGCATCAATTTCCTATCACATTGATGACCTGTGCAGTCTTTTCAGCACATTAAATATCATACCTATGGCAATAGGGATAACTGAATCCAACTTATACCTTAATGATACCAATATAACAGAAATAACTATTAATGGATTCAATATTGAGCATTGCTCCACTGAGGCCAAAAAAAGTGGTGCTCTTTTATATCTGCAGTCTAATTTAAATTAAGTTCGTCATGCTTTAAGATTTACTTACCAAAATTAATTCTGTCTTTACTTACCAAAATTAATTCTGTCTTTACTTACCAAAATAAATTCTGTCTGTTTTTGTCAAATTTATTAAGCTCCACAAAACAAATGTTCTAATTAGTTGTATATATTGTCATCCATCAATGAATCAAAATAAATTCAATACAACATTTTCACTTCTTGAAAAGTTAAGCAAAGAACAATCACTTCTTGAAAAGTTAAGCAAAGAACAAAAATTGATCTTTTTAATGGGTGATTTCAATGCAGATCTACTGAGCTATAGCAAATCTAATCCTATTTCCAACTACCTTGATACCTTTTCTTCTTACTCATTTAAACCTTCCATAATCCTACCTACACATATAACAGCTAAATCTCAAACACTCATTCATAATATCTTTATGAACTTCTACTCTTCTGATCATCTCTCAGATTACTTAAATATTTTTAACTTGGATTACATAGCACAATTTGTTTGTGTTCCTGGCACATTCAGCCAACTAAATTAAATTAAAATTTTTAAATGATGTCTAAAAAAATTTGACCCTAACAAATTTATTCTGGAAATTTCTAAAATCAACTGGGAGCTTAGGGTTAAAAAAGATGACAATATTAATGAATACATCAATCAATTTTTAAAACCGTTTAATAGGGTTTTAGACCATAGTGTTGCCTATAAAACTTTAACTAAAAATCAAATTAAACTTAAATCTAAACCCTGGATCTCTGAAGGCTTACCTAAATCTATTTCTGTAAAAAAAAACTCTATAAAAATTTGCAAGATGTAAAAACATTGATACTAAAAATGAACCTTTCACAAAATTTAAATTCTATAGAAATGAAAATTAGCAACTTATTAAAAAGTAGTAAAAAATCATACTACATAACTTTTTTTAATAACAACACGAACAACATAAAAAATACATGGAAAGGCATATAAGATATAAATATTAAAGCATCATTACATAAAACACTTACTCAGCTAAATCTGAATTAAAATATCATCACAAACCATGCCACTATTTCAAATACATTTAACAACTACTTTGTCTCTATTCGTGAAAAACTACTCAATGAAATCATGCCATCAAAACATACTTATAGTGACTTTCTTAACTTGCCTAATGCTAATTCTTTCTTTATTGATCCTGTGAGTGAAGATGAGGTATCTAGTCTTATTAATAATTCTCTTAAAAGTGATAAAAGTTATGGACCTAATAGCATACCTACATTTTTTCTTAAACTCACCTCTCACATAATCTCCAAATCTCTTAACATTATGATAAATAATTCTTTTAAAAGTGGCAAATTCCCTGAAGTTTTTGAAGTAGCTCAAGTCATTCCAATTTATAAAAAAGGCTCCTTACTAGACTTTTCTAACCATCGACCCATTTCCCTTTCTTCCAACCTAAGCAAACTTTTTGAGAAGCATAACAGGCTATACAAATTTCTAGAAAAAATTTAAATGCTTGTACCAATATCAATATGGATTTCGAAGTAAACATTCCACAACCATCGCACTTATTGAAATTACTGAGAAGATT